CAGTCAGTGATGAAAGTGGTCAGAAAGAGGTGCTGGTGTGGAGTGTTCTCCAATGTGCCGGGACAATAAAGTTGGTTTTAGCTTTCCGGAAAAGCGGTGTTCAGCTTCATTCACACCTAGTGGTGTCACAAGGGAGTGTGGCCTGCACCCGGGTGACACCATTGCAGGGGTGACACCAAAATGACTGACAGTCATTTTGGTGTCACCCTCTCTAAAAAGTCAGACACTCAGTCATGGACAGAGAGCCCAACAGTGTCAGGAGAGAGGAGGGGACCCGGCAGCCTACCTCATCCTGCCAGGTGACCGTCCCCTCCTCTCTGACGGCGTCCATCACCATGATGGCCGCCGGCAGGTGTCAAGCAGATGGCCGCGCATGGGCTATGACGTCATCCAGCGGGGTGACACCCGGCCACGGGACGCCCCTGTTCACACCTATTCAATTGTTCACTTTTTACTCATGGATCTTCATTCCCAAAAACATACATTTAGGAGCTATTCGGACTATTTTGGTGCGTTAACATGTTTTTTTCATGCATTGGGGCCCGGCAACACGCGGGCGTTATTTTTGGCAATGCAGCTCAACAGTATTCACATTTGTGCATTGTGGTGCGCTACAACTCAAGGGAGCTTTTGCCTCCCTGATGAAGGGTGTGTGTGCATGACCCCCCCCCCCCCCCCCCCGAAACACTTTGGATATTTTTATTCAGTCCACTCTGTTGGTTATGTGTTTGGATGGAGGTCTGACATCTTGAGGAATGCTGAATTAGGTTTTACTTCCTTAGGAGAACATTACATCAGAATACAGCATTGCGCAACAAAGATATATATAGAACTTCCTGTGTATCATAGAGAAGTATGCGTATACAGAACACTGCACTACAGCGCCATCTACAGTTCAGACATATCAGTATATATGCTGTTGTATTTCCAATAGGGATACGAGTACCAATATTTTTTTTCCCGCTACTCACCAATACCAAGTAAAGAGTACTGGTGCCGTGTGCCCGGATTATCAGGGAGTCAGGCGGTGGATCATGACCCATCAGCCGGCTTTCTGATTGCATTTCTAGTGACAGAACACCGGCTTCACTTGCCGAGGCTGCCTGGCTTCCTCACCAATCAGGAAGCTGGGTAATTATGTGCCGCCCGGCTTCCTGATTGCTAAGGAAGCCAGGCTGCGTAGCAACAAATGAAGCCGGCTTCCTAGCCAAATCAGGAAAACGGGCGGGATGGCATGAATTGCCTTCCTGGCTTCCCGATTGGCTAGGATGCCGGCATCACTTGTTACCCTGTAGCGTGGCTTCCTGACCAATCAGGAAGCTGGGACAGGAGTCATAATGTGCCGCCCGGCTTCCTGATTTGTAGGTAAACAGCCTGGCTTCCTAACCAACAAAGCTGGCTACCTAGCCAATCAGGAAGCCGGGTGTCACATTATGATCTGCCTCCTGGCTTCTCTTGTTCCTAGGCAGCCTGGCTTCCTGACCAATCAGGAAGCTGAGGAGGCGGGTCATTATGTGCAGCCCGGCTTCCTGATTGGTTAGGAAGCCAAGCTGCCTAGCAACAAGTGAAGCCGACTTCCTAGTCAATGAGGAAGCCGGGCGGCGGTTCAAAGCCCACCGCCCAGCTTCCGGATTGCAAAAGGAAGCCGGCTCCATGCTCCCTCGGCACTTGCGGTCAGAGGGAAGTTCCGGTATCGGGAAAGGTATTGGAGCATATGGGCAAGAACGTGTACTTGCCTAAATACTCGGCATCGGCACTGATACTGGTGTCGGCGTATCCCTAATTTCCAACACCCTCACCATTCACGAATAAAGACTTATCTGGACTATCAAATGGCTCCCTTCAATACTCACAAAACACTCATGACAGCGATGATCACGGTATGTCTCCGGGTACCGTCTCTTCTTTTGCCTACAATAAAGAAATTAATAACTTTATTTAGATTGACAGGTACGCTCCGGCCAGATGGAAACATTTGTGCGCCTCGTCACATCCCTCCTGCCCCAGGATAGAAATCCCTACAGCTAGCAGGATCCTTATCTTATACGCTGCACCCTGCGAAAACAAAAAGGTCACATGTGTTCCCTGGTTCTGACCTTATATAGTGTAGACGGGTCATGTGACAGGAGCAGTGATGTAACTATAGCCATAGCAGCACAGGCAGCTGCTATGGGGCCTGGGGTTGGTAGGGGGCCTCATTAGGTTGTTGAGGCAAATTAAACAGAGCATGTGAAGATAACACAGTACCGTATCAATAAGGGTTCGAGTGGATGCAGTTGACGACAATCCTTATCCTTTGTAAAGTCTACAGTGTAGGAAAACAGACTTCAGATGCACAAGAGGATTCTTTGGGATCTTGGTGTCATTAGTCACAGCCCAGAGAGAGGTCGTCAGGCTCAGGCACCCCCCAATCATATTTTTGCTATGCGGCTCTGTGATCTGAAGTTACGCCCCCGGACAGGAGGCTGCAATTCCACACTTAAAGGCCTGCTGAATATGTCTACAGTGTGCGTGTTCTGTAGGCGACGCATGATGATTAATGGCCGGCAATGAGAATTTCTCCTTCAGTACTACTGCACAGTGTATGCCCCCCCATATTCACGGATATGACCGGCCATACTCAAGTAGCCACACTGAAATGTTGCATTCTGATAACTGAATGTGGTCATTACATGAAATGAGTATCAGACACGGAGCTCTGTAACCGTTTACATTCTTATCTACAGGGCTCTGGTACGGGATACTGTTATGCACACTTTGGAGACGCCACGTGTTATCAGCTTGGGGCCAACCAGCTGGCAGAAAGGCACCTGTCAGACTCCATGTGGCCCTTAAGGCTGAACTCTGGGATCCTGCCCACTTTGGACTCCTCGCTCCCTTTCTCCATGCGAATTTGCAACGCAACATGTTCAGTGAATGCCTTACGTCTTCATCAAATATATTCTCCCTTGTGATGTCATCGCCTGCTTCTGAAAAATGTAATGTACCCGAGCGCCTAGGGGGAGAATTTATATGGTGCACCCAAAGCGTTTACCAGGGGGGAATAGGAACTACGTTTTCCCATGATTCAATGCAACTGTCCAGGCGTTGTGGGTGGTGCTCAGGGCTATTCGTATGCATGGGTGTGTAAGTGGGCAGTGATCAGCTTTTGGCATAGCTGCCAATCAATGGCTGTGGGCGGGTCACGACTGGGTCCATCATACCCGCCCACAGAAGGAAGCATGATGTAAGGCTCTGTTCTAAAATACAAAAAGGGGAAATGCATCCGGAAGGCCATTCCTCCATAAGGAGAAAACAATGGTGCCTGGTTACACTAGATGGAAGCTACCCCATACGTGAGGCATAAAAGGCACATGTTAGGGGGGGGAGGGGGTGTATGATTACAAGAGTGGAGAGTATTTTTGGAGAGGGCAAGCAAATAACGTGCAAAAAAGAAATATTCAATGCCTCCTGGCTGGAAGGGCCGTCATCAAAAGAGCGAGCCAACACCTAGACGCCCGCGATCTGTAGATGACTGTTTTGAAGCATGACTCCCCATCCCAAAGAACACTACACTAGGTCGTATATTAGAACTAGCAATGCTCAGCTGTGCACAGTTGGAAAACTGTGCCGTCATTGACATTCAATGCAGAGCCAATCGGTGTGGTTCCTAATCATGCGATTCCCATGACAGGCAGAGTAACACGGTGACGGCTGGGGCCACCAGGCTGCAGCTGCCACAGTAATTAAAGAAGAAAAAAATTAACCTGTGGTCATGAATAGGCCAAAGCGGTTTTATGTGCCGCACCCGTTGCGCTTTATGAAGTGTGATATCCATCAGATATTTTCAGGTTATACAACCTCTGACGAGTGTACCTGCGATCTCCTGGCGGGTGTCCAGCCCCGCCTCCCCGGGGTCACGCAGGGAACCGCGTTTGCTTAGGTGGTCGGTGTGACTGCGGCTGTGTGTCCGTCTCCTCCGCCTGATGCTGCTGGCTGTGCTGCTGTCCTGCAATGGGCTTCCTGGGGTCTCCTCCACCAACAGGTCCGTTTCTGTGACACCGCAGGAAACGAGGATTATTAAAGGACAACCGACAGAGAATAGCATGGAGAAAAATCCCCTCAACCCCAGCAATGCCTTCCACATATTTCCTTCTCACAGGTCCTTATGTTGCTCTCATCCTTAATTCCACCCAATAAAAAAAGAATTTGTATTGTTTATCTTCAAAGGATGGAATTCAATCAGCCTATCCAGGTCTGAATTGGGTGTGGAAGGGTTAGAATCTATGTCAGGTTTATAGATCGCTGTGTGTCACCACTGGAAGATTTTCTCTCACTTCCTGTCCTAGGTGGCACCATTAAAAAGGAGAACTATGAGGCTGAGTGCTTTTCACTCACCTCATAGTTCTAGCCGACCTGTGACAATGAGACTGTCACAGGTCGGCTCAGTAGATCGGGAGGCGAGCGAACAGATACCGGCGTTCGCTCACCTCTCGATCCTGTCACGGCTCTCTGCCGTGACAGGGGAGGGGCTGGATTCCCCCCTCCCCGCTCCGCCAGCGCTGACTGGCGGAACGGACGGGGGAGGGGGCGGGTACAGCTGGCTCTGCCTCTAGATAGGCAGAGCCAGCTGTCAGTCACGCAGCTGGGCGGATCCCGGCACAATTGTCGGGATCCGCTTCAGCTGCGGCGTCTCAGTATACTGCGAGCTACAGTTTGCGGTATACTGAGCCTAGGGTGACGGGAGGACGCTAGTTTGTGTCCTCTCGTTACCCTAAGGATAACTATGGGGAAAAGCCTTAACCCCATAGTTCTCCTTAAAGCCGTAGTAAACCGCCAACAAAAACATGGCCCCCCGCAAGGTGTTTCCCATAATGTGCTGGTATATGAACACATTATGGGCAACTTACCTTACAGGCTGATCCCCTCCAGCGCTGTGATGTCGGAGTTCTCTTCCTGCCCCGGTGCTGCCATCTTCTCCTGTTCTTCTTCAGCGTTTAGCGTCTTCAGCCTCTCCATTGGCTGGGTCACGATTATGCAACTCCTCCGCATGCACACGGGAGTTACTTAATGTCGGCACAGGACCCTGCCGAGCTTGTGCAATGACGGCAAAGGAGCTGGTTGGAAAATTCCCGGTCATGCAGTGACGGTAGCAAATCCGCTACATTCAATGTTTGGGTATTCTGACAGCGGCAATAGCCTGGTGGGGCGAGGGGGGTGAATTACTTATACTTGTAAAAATGCCCCGATACTAAATGCAGATACCGGTGTTCTGTGGCGAACGCCGACATAGTTAAATTTGCCGACCTCAGCATCTACGCTTGCGCACAGACCAATATTATCGAGGGAACCGGGATTTATTCACAAACTATTTCGTTTAAATCGTTAATTGTGACCGGTCATATTATTCCACCCATCATTCACTGCCATAGATGGTATATTATTAACGGTCACAATTAACAATTACAAACAAATACTTTGTAAATAAATGCCGGTTTCCTCCGTAATCCCGTCTGTACGTAAGCGGGGATACTGGGTCGGCGTTCTCGACAGAACACCGGCACTAAAATTTTTAAACAAGCGGCTGCCTGAGGTCCCGCGCTTGCTTGGGACCTCGGCAGCATTCCGGTTAATCATGCGGTGCCATGGCGGTTGGTGGGGGGAGGGCTTCATGGTTTCACGCACCGGGGCCCTGAAGGATCTAGTTACGCCTCTGAATAGAGATGAGCTTCAGGTTTGGGTCAACCATGAGGTCAACCCAAACCCGAGCCATTGGCATATCGCTGAACAATTTGGCCAGTTCACCCACCTACCAAACCCCCGTCTGTGTCCTAGAAACCAATGACCAATGTGGAATGAGTCCAGTTTAGTTGAAGCGAGCACCCCCAGGCTGCAGGAGCCATTTAAAGTCCATCACACCCTTAAATAGTACCAAATGCCACCTTCATTTCTTCTTCTTCTTCTCTCAATGAAATTTTGGCAACGCAAAGAATTCCCAATTTCTCTCATCTCCATTGGTCTCAACTGTTGAAATTGCTCCTAAACTGGGCAGTATTTTGCCTCCCCGAGATGGACCTGCCCTGGCGCAGGCCTTGTGGTTCAGGTAGTAGGTGTAATATTCAGGAAGACGTCTTACCTAACTGCTTAAAGTAATCCTCTAGGCCACTCGAGGAATTTCTTTCAATGAAAGTCTTGACGAGACCCCAAGGCTGCTTCTTGTACTTCACATCCGTGATAACACTGGACACAAATACACACAGCAATTAATATGAGGCTGCAGGGACCAAGATCTACCCCATCCGTATGCAATGTAAAAAGACTACTACATAACACACAGACTATACAGCAATAGATGAGACAGCAGTACATTGGCTTTCAGCTTCTGCTCAGACCTTACCGTAATCTGCACTTGTGTTTGGAGGTGCGGCTTATGTAGTACTTGTTCACAGTGTAGAAATAATCGTGGTACGGGACGTCGTGCGTGATCACCTCCGTGTACACGTTATAGGACTGCCCTTGCTGACTTTCCTTGTACAAAGTCTGAAGGGACACAAGACAGACGTTATCGAGAATTGGACACAGCAACCATGGGAAGTATCAATGGGCACAACACGGTTCTGGCCACAAAAGGGAAACAAAAAATGCTGTTTTCAGGTGTTGGTGACTCCCGCCATAGGATCTCCCCATCATCATGATCATCTCCCCATCATCATAATCCCATCCACTTCCGGATGGACACAAATATTCCAAGAGTAGGAGAGGGAACCGCAGAATGCTAAACTCCAGGCAAACAGCTAAATAGGACTATAAAATACATATAAAGGGAGATGTTTACCTGCCAAATGATTGGCAGTCTGTCCATCCAAGTAACACTTACAGGTCTTCCAATATTGGAATGCCAATTGTGAGCCAGAGCTTCTTGACCAACATCAGTACCTAACCTCACAAATACTCTTTTGGGAGTTACCTGGGCAAACAATTCCCACAGACAAACTCCTATACCTTGGAAAAAGCCATACCAGAGGAGTGGAGGCTATTGTAGCCAGAAAGGGGGGGGGGGGGGAACAAATTCCATAGTCATACCCATTGTTCTAGAATGGAATATCCAACAAGCTCTTATAAGCGTCAAGGCATCCAGCTCAATGACGTCACTGGTTGCCAGGTTGGCTGGGATGCCAGCCAGAGCGTCCTGCTTAGCTCCTGGCAACCTGTGACTTCAGTGAGCTGGGCAGGAAGCTGGACAGAGCATCAAAGGTTGCTAAGAGCTCTTAGCAACCTACTGGGACGCTGTGGCTGCCCCCCAAACGTGACCCAGGCTGCTTCATTACAGGGACGGCTCTGCCTTTGGCTATATGGTGTATAAAGCAGAAGCTTATGGCGTCTTCCATACCACCACCTCCACTTCTAGACTTGAAAAGGACAGAGACTACCTGCAAGTTACTGCCCCAGGATCAGTTGTACCCTCTGCCTCCTATATCCCAGACAGTGTTACAACATATTATGAGCACCATTACATGCCATGGCACAGCACAAAAGTGCATCGTACCTGTTTGTCTGTAGCAGTAGTGAATTTCCCGATCAGCGGGTTGTTGATGGTAATTGTATAAGTCAGCGTCCTGGTCTGATTGCCATTATCGTCTGGCTGCCAGGGAGAAGACTCTAGATCTATATAATGGGGAAAAATAAAAGAATATATTTAAGATTATTATAAGTTGTAGTAATGTCATTACATGACAGTGTGCCGTGCTATACCGTGTGCCAAGTTCCTGCTGCAGATGGGGGGGGGGAATAAAAATCACAGAACGTATTGTAAAAACTGCCCCTCTCTTTTCCCTGCTTCACTGCCCCCAAGTGACCTGCTCTATTGCCTGCACATTAAACCACATTCTGAAATCTATAGCCAGCCTTCAGATGGGGAGGTTATATACTGTCAGGCAATCTGGTACCTTCACATTCCACGGTGCTGTCAATCTGATGTTTTCAGGCACTGGGAGCTGAAGGAGAAGATGTTTGGGTCCCACAATGGGACTGGCACGAGAGCGCAACAGGGGTAATACAGGGGCAGGCACCTTAGGGAACACCCAAGGTGCAGGTGAGAGGCCACCAGTCAGTAGCGTAGGAGCCCCACAGCAAAGTGTAGGAAACACTGATGCACTAGAAAGATGGCGGACATGCAGGTATGTGTCCTTGATGTTCACAGAAGCCAGAAAAGTCTTGGTGGCGAGGGACCTGGAGGATTTTTAATGGACTCAAATTAAGACATTTGAGATCCAAGATGGGGCAGATGCCCACTGGGGGTTTGTGAACGGTGAACAGGCTGTGGTGAAAACCTTGAAACTTTAGGCTTGATGGAGATGTGCTCATCTGTAAGGACACCGAGGTAAGGGAGGAATCCTAGGGACCCCAAGGTATGGGAGGACCCAGAACCTAAGGGAAGACCCTGGGGACCCCGACGTATGGGAGGACCCCCGACATAAGGAAGCACCCTGGGGACCTCGACGTAAGGGGGTGCTCTGGGAACTTTTTCATTAAAGATAAGAGTTGATATTCTGGTTATGTTATCTAAAATATGGGTGCCAAATTTTGGATACAATTTCTGTGCTTGCCATAGGTGCTATTTTATGTAGATCCTCCTCTGCACCCACAGAGAGATGTCTCGCCACCAGTCCATTCTACAAATTCTCTGCATGTTTTAAATGAAAACTGTTCACGTATACCACAAAAGATAGAACCTTTTGAAAAATATTAACATTGTCCAACCCGTCCACTTCCTTTTTCAAGCTCTTAAAAAAAAAATATATATATATATATATCTGGATTGGCATTGGTTCCGTAGATCCGAACAACTGAACATTGAAGTCATCAGACTGATACTTGTGAGCGCCATAAGGCTTTCTACTCCCCCACACAGTGTCCACTGTAGGTAGAAAAACCTGTTGTAGACTTGGAATGGCAATTCTTGGGAGGTCCTTGGCCTGGAATGACAATACTTGGAAGGTCTTGGACTTGGACCTTCCATCTGAAGGTCTATGGGCAGATTTACCTTCATCGTGCACATCTGTGAACATAAGCGGAACTTACCAAAGACTTTCCTGGAGGAGTAGAACTTCTGCATGAAACGAGAGGGGGTGAAGAGCAGCTCAAACATCCTCTGGGCCCTAATGTTGAACACCCGGTTAATGTATAATCTCCCTTCCACCTGTTCATCATGAACTCTGTCACCTGGAGGAAAACATGATCATCATTAATGACTGCAGCAAGACAGGTCTCTCTAGATAGTATAGCCCTGAGGTATGGTTGGGCATGCTGGTACTTCTCGTTTTTCACCAATACCTGCTACAGGATTACAGTCCTACGCATACCGAGTATTTTAATCTGACCTCCCCTTCAGTCTTGCATAGTTGTACCGGCTCCTCTCCTGAACTTATATTTCTCTGATTTCACTACACACTGTGAGCTTCTCGCAATGCGCATTAGAAGCTGCAGCAGGTCAGATAGAGCCCGCCTCATTAACTAGCTGGAGGACATCCAGCTTCATCTAGATTTCTCCTCCACAGCCTGACTGTCTCTGGTCCACCCCTTTCATTCATTGGATTTCCCTCCTTTCAATAATGGAGGCTCAGCATCACATGTGAGTGGTCTGCATGCAAATATGGTCTGCCTGGGTATGGTCACTCCTAGAGACTGACACCCACCAAATTTTGATATTTGGATAACTCCTCTCAAGAGCAAGCCCACTGTTTGCATCAGGACTGAAGACTCGTGATAGGAGTACAGCAGGGTGCTGTGATGTTCTCAGGAAGCTATGAAAAGCACCCAGACGGCCCCTCCCACCTGCCGTGATCTGCCTGCATTGCACTGTACCAGAACCCCAGGCAGATATTAATAAAAACATGAATCTAATTGGATGTTAGGCCAGACACATGTTTTTCTAAGTATTGGAGGTAGTGAGGAAGGGTTATACCCCTTGCTGGGTTTTTACTGCCATACAGGACTCCATTAGAGAGATTTTCCCTTACTCCCTGTCCTGCTGACAATGTTTCTCCAGACAGGAAGTGAGGGAAAATCTACAACAATAAAATACAAATCTGACAGGGGTTCTAGTCTTCCGTTACTCTATTAATAAGAGAGTTGGATAGTGTTGCTGTTGGAGAATTTCCATCACTTCCTGTCTGATAAACATCGTTAGGAGAGGAAGTGAAAATCTCTCTAACAGAGCCCTATGGGGATGCACCGATACCCGTTTTTTCGGTATCAAGTACCGATATTTTTTCCGCCACTCGCCGATACCAAATACAGATACCGGAAGCCCCGTTAAGGAAGCCAGGCGGCGAGTAATGACTCGCCACTTGGCTTTCTGATTAGCAGGGAAGCCGTCTCCATGCTTCTCGTCACGAGGTAACGAGAAAGCATGGAGCCGGCTTCCTGGCCAATTAGGAACCCAGGCAGCGTGTAATGACTCGCTGGCCAGCTGTAATGACTCGCTGCTCGGCTTCATGATACTGGAAGCTCAAGTATCGGGGCTAGGCATCGGAGCTTTTGGGCGAGTACGAGTATACTTGGTATCGGTGCATCCCTAGAGCCCCAGACATTTTCACTTCCACTGGGAACATGCTGCTCATTCAGTCTTCAGCCTGGGGGTGCGCCCGAGACCGAAGTGGACTGCTATCGCTAGCCAAAACTTTTTTTAAGCATTTCTGGGTTCAGGGTTGTCAAAATCCCATCTGAAATGTCCAGTAAACTTGACTGGGTGCAGCAGAGGGCAGGGGAGGCATTACGGGTCTAACAGACTCCTGATGACTCCATAAAAAGTGCCCGTCACCTGGCCAAAGCTTGTTAGCCCCCCTGAGACAGCAGTAAAGGTAAAAAAAAAAAAAAAGTAATGCTTTATCCAAAAAATTAAAACACTTTGACAGTTTCACGACCAGAGACGTTTCTATTCCAGCCTTATTCGTCTTACGTTCCTCAGCGGAGTCGGAGTAGCTGCTCCTGTCAGCATGCTGGTTCTCATTGCCATTCAGGTCCAACGCCAGGGCCGGAGTCCCGATGTGTGAGCGGAGGCTACTCTGCCTGCTGGAGCTCAGGAGTGGGCTCTTCTTTGCCGCCTTCTCCCCCTCTTCTGGGAGGAACTGTGTGGATATCTGGGGAGGGATCGGGTCATGGCGGGAGTTAGAGGACATACATTTCTCCTGCCTGGAAATTTTAGAATACCTTGTAGCCAATTCATTACAGATCAGTCACAAAAAGATAGAAAATATAATTTTTTTTTATCAAACTAGTGTGCTGCCACAGCCATTGTTATTTTCTGTTATTTTGAATTATTTCCATAAAACGATGCCATGTATTCATTGCATGGTTTTATGTTATGGTATATTCCTGACATCTAGTGGTAGATTAAAGTTACTACAACTTGTTTCTCTGTATACATTGGTATCTTCCACTGTTCTCCTCTCCTGTTTAGCATCACTTTGGATAGTCTTAGATAGACCCAATGAGGGCTAGACCATACAATGAGGGGACACGAAAGAAGCAGGGACTGCTTCAGTCCCTGCTTCTTTCGTGTCCCCTCATTGTATGGTCTAGCCCTCATTGCAGACTCTAGGCTTGGAAGATCTATTGTCTTTTTACACTTCATGTACCCAGCAAACATCCTCCGTAATATACTATGAGAAGTAACACTAAGTTGATTTTAGCCTTCTGGGTCTTATTGGAGAGTCAGGCTGTCTTTAGATGGATCTGAATTAGCTTGTGGACATACTGCCCAGAAGGATTGAGCTCCAAAGGTGGTATGTCAAAGCACAAAGCAGTTCTTGAAACAGAACAACTACTCATAGCAATGAGTATATATTACTGCACAGAGCCTTGTTTACATGACGCTTTCCTGCATTTAGCGGAACAGGATTTTTGTTTTTTTTTGCTTGATGGTAAAAATAAGTATACAGCAGGCTGGCAGAATCAAATAATATACAAGTACACCTATGCCTCTACCAACAAGCACATGGGAGCTCCCCCCTTACATGGCCATCACTCCACTACCCATACCCAAAAGAAAACACAGCCAATCTAGTCCCCTTTCAAGAAGATATGTACCACCTCCTCCCAGCGGAATCATAGCACCACCCTGCCCCTCACCAAGGGAAAACCCAGTCACTAGAAGAGCACTCCCCTGTCCCACCACCCAGCAGGAGAAGAGCACTTCCCTGTCCCACCACCCAGCAGGAGAAGAGCACTTCCCTGTCCCACCACCCCCTCTTCCCAACACATACCCAGGATAGATGCAGCCCCATGGCAGCATTGTATTATTCTCACCATTTGTAGGATGTTCAGTGAATCCGTCTCTGTCTGGGAGACGCCATCCCTCATCTGGGAAGATCCCCGAGATGTCTTCTCACCTTTCTCTCCCAGATCCTCACTCGCCGCCTTTCCTGGAATCCTGCAGACAGAACAGACTATGAATAATGTGACCGGAATCAAGAACAAATGATTTACCAAATCCCATACAACCGTCATCAGTCACAGATGGCCATAACCGTCTCATATGATTGTCTTATTCAGATAAGGAGGTCAAGCAAAGACTGTCATTCTGATGACCTGTGTGACCAAGAATTGTCCCCAATCTTTAGAACGCACTGCAGTCAATCCGACCACCTACACCTGTCTCTGGGGCCTACAACAGCAGCAAACAACTGCAACTCTTCAGATCAGAAGAGAAGAACTAGGTGACAACTCACATCCAGTCTTGGTTGTCTGGCACAAATGTGGTCACAGAGCTGGAAAACTTGTGTTGTACAATAATATAAACAAATGGTAAATCCTGGGAGGGAAGGGGGTGGGTCACTCAGTAATAATTAAAAGAGAACCAGTCACAGGTTTAGGCATTTAAATAATTGAGTTTAGAACTCCCTTCTTCAGGTCACTCACCTCATTAATAATGGTCTCGGCGGGCTTAAATATAATATAATATAATATAAATGCAGATATGGCCATTGTTAGGTTCCTACACTCTATTCCCATCACAGCCTTGGTGGGTTTTGTTCTGTGGTTTGGCCAATAATCTGCCCGGAATCACCGATTTGGGTGCCTGTTCCATTGTACATTTAAAAGAGAACCTGCGAGCGTGCCCATGCAGTGCAAAGTGACAGAATCTCTGGACAGGGCCCCTTCCAACCCACATATAGTCACTTTACCAGACCTCTCTTAGCTCCCTTGTCTACTCCACAGGCAGCAAAAATACTCTGTATTTTTGGGTATGGGGGAGCATGTGTCCTGCTTCCCTGTAATAGTGCCTGGGCCAAGCATCTAAATGCTAGACCCAATCCTTGTCACATGACCAGGGGAATGAAGACATTTATCTACAGCAGGGGTAGCCAAACTTTGGCCCTCCAGCTGTGATGAAACTGCAAATCCCATAATGCATCTGCCTCTGGAATTGCAATCTATAGGGTCACCAACACAGCCGATCTCAGCGACAACTGCAGAGGAGCAAGGACCTGACGTGGAGTGCAGGTAAGGGGAGTATAAAGGAGCTGGAGAATGGGGGTCTTTTGAGAGACACCGTCACCTTGCCCATGTATGACCTGTGTAAGTCCAAGTCCAGCCATTTTTTTTTAAATTTCAGTTCTGGATAGAACTAGGAAAAAAAAAAAACTTAAAACCCCTGTGAGATTTTTAATCACAATCTGTGTCCCCATCTTCCCTTACTTTCAGTCTTGGTGACCACACAGAAGTCTAAAAAAAGAAAAAAACATCTCCCCTCTTCTAAACAATTAATTTCACCTCACTTCCTGCCTTGGCGACTACACAGGAAGTGAAGGGACATTTTTTCCAACGACAGGCAATAAAAAAGCCTCTTCTTGGTTCTATCCCCTCCCTGCTTTTCCAAAAACTTTAGAAGGTTTTTTCCTGAATAAGGACTTTAACTTAGAAATTTAAATTTTTTAAGGAGTCATGGCTGGGGTGAAGGAATGAGGAAGTGGGATATAGCCATAGAACAGGAAATCAGGCCCATAGGTGTCCTTCTTACCTTGCCACCGTAATGTCCTCAGCTGACACGGCTAGACTGTCCATCTCCTCATTATTCAGGCCCAGCTCGGTGCCATAGCTTTGCTGTACCAGCTGCCAGAATTCCTTCTTGGTCAGGCTCTGTGGAGAGATGAATGGAAGGGGAGGGGAGGGGGGGG